ATAAAACTGTAGGCAAGTAATTCTACTTGCCTACACTCACATGAACACTCACATCCTCATCTATTAGATGTAGATAATCCTTCCTATAATGCAGTGTTGTCACGGTGATTAAAAGTACATATATTCAGTATAAGTATTTATAGAAATTCATAACTCAATAATAGGTTTACAACACCCATTTAAAAATACATGACACATGACTCCATCAGATATCTTTTATAATTAGAGTGAATGAGTAAAGGATTTCAAGTTCAAATGGCAGGCTTAAAGTGAGAAATGACCAGATAACAATGAAGAAAGTAAATGAGTGGCCGCCACAGATAAGCGTTTGCTAGCTAGAAGTGGGATGTCTGATTTCTTCAGCCATAAGGAATCAACACTTTGTAATCAGTTACATGCAGGCTTTGGAAATAAAGAAGAACAAGCATAGTGACAGACACAACCTGGGCCTTTGGTTGAATCCTCCTAAGAGCATGCTCACCACCACTCTGAAAGTGGCACCACAAAATCAGAGAAGTTTCCACGTTAATTGAATGGCATACAGAATGATGTATTTCCTCCATCTCCACATAAATGAATAAACACATCCTATGAATTCAGACTCCTATTCTTCAGTTTAAAATGCTCTCTCTCCTGAAAAATTACTGAGTAAAAAAACAGCCGATAACAATAAAAAGTTTGCATGTATTTTATCATTATAGAGTGATTACACACAAAATAAACCACAAAGCATGGTAACCAATTTTTTTCCAATTTGATTTTTCATGATCAACTATTCTGAATACTTTACCTCAGCTTCATTTTACTTTCTAGGCCAAACTTTCCCACAAGTTCTGATCGTTAATAATTATTAAATTAATACAAAACATTTGTAAATCTGTTACATGTAAATGGACACAATATAAGCAATGATAAGTGCCTGATACAGAGATCAAATATACATGCCTTGAGTATGAGTTTATTTTATTGTTGAGTCGCTGCGTAAGCAATAACACTGCTTCAGTTTGTTGACAATCTCCATCGTGATAGCTTTACCACCTTCTCCAAGACACTTAGGCTTGTATGTCAGAAGAAATGACTCAGGCTCGCAGCACTACTTCTGCATCATCAGCACTGATAAAGGGAGGCTATCCTTAACAGTGCCCTTGATACCCTCCACCTTCTCTGTAGCTGCCTCCCAAGGTCGTATAAGATCAACCTGTAATTTCCAGAGGACATGAACTCATCATAGGGTCAGAGAATACCCTATGGTCAGAGTTGGTCAACACCAACTCAGAAGACCCTCAGTCAGATCACGGGGTTTATTACACTTTGCCAAAAAATATAAAGGCAGACTGGTTACCTGCTCAAATCCGCAGCAGCTCAGTAGTATCATTGCACTGTTCATAGCCATGATCTTTAATGTGTGGCCAGTAAGGTGTGCCAGAAGCTGGACCAGGCTGGTCTTGCCCACAGAAGCTGGCCCGACCAGGATGACCATCCAGCTCATTTGCAAACACTTCATGATTGACTCCAGGGGCTGGAATGACTGGTGCAGGAGCAACAGGGGGATGGCGGAGATGGAGTGAGAACACAGCTCCACGGAAAGGACCGAGTAGCCCAACTGAAATGACATGCCAGTGAGATTTCACAAGCGTGCCTGGTAGTGGGAGCAGAAGAAACCATTAAAAAAAAGCCAAAGGATAAAGTTATTCTAGTCTCCTTACCTGAACATCATAGGGGTGATAAAATAGTCTGGTTCCCATGTATGGGTTAGATTTGAACCAAACACATCCTTGAATACAGCAATGACCTAAAGGAAGAAGACAGTGCAATAAAACACAAATCACTCCACCTAATTCTTAGGCAAACTTGCTAGAAAACAAGCACAGTGATAAGAGTCACCATTCTAAAAACACTGGCCACAATTCCCTTATCCTTTTGAATTTTCTCTTATAAAAGGGATCGAATGCATTTATTTAATTCTTTGGAATGAAAATAAATTTAAGATTGAGAACACAGCAGTCATATTCCAAACTATCTGAGATTCAGTGAGAATGCCATAAATTAAACTGAAGCCATGGACTGTAATACTGAAATCTAGGAGACAAAAAAGACCTGTTTGCTTTCGTCATTGAAGATACTACCTAAAAGAAGATAGACGGTAATACAAAGATTATAAAGAAAAAGCGACCACTCAATAACCATCTTCTATGTACCAAACACTGTATTAAGTACTTTGGTAGATTATTTCTGATCTTTATACCCATGCAAAATAGTTATCATGTCCATTTTATATAGATATAGCACTCACAAGAGTTATAGAATTTGCCCATGGTTATTGACCGATTTTAAATCTAAAGCCAAGTCAGCCTCAAGAAGCAATATTATACCTCCAAACATTTATGTAGATACAAAACCAAATTTATTCCTCTAATCAATTATTTACATTGTTAGATTGCTTATTAATGCTATTAGAAAATGTTTCGTTAACTCTCTTTGATTTTGGTTCTCTAAAAAATCTAAGAGTAATGGTGAAGGGGGATAGAGGTATATAAAAAACATTAATTTAGCCCATAAAAGTAGGGAAAATTAGAGCCAGAAAAAAAAAAAAAAGCATACAAAATAGTATTTCTAAAAAGCATCAATACTCATACAATTGAATACTGCAATGAAGTTAGAAAATAAAAATAATATAGATAAAATAATAATCAGTGTCAAACAATGGACTGTAGAGACTAAGCAGCATAGGAAAGTGTTTCCTGTCACCCACACCTATATTGAGGTGATATATGACCTCATGTTCCACACTAAGCATACAACCTCCAACCCCTGATGTTCTACCAGAGGTTAAAATTATGGAAAATGTTTGCTGCTGGGGGAGGCTGAGGGTAGAATCATTTGAACCCAGGTTGCAGTGAGCCAAGATCACGCCATTGTACTCTAGCCTGGGTGACAGAGAAAGACTCTGTCTCAAAAAAAATTCCCAATCTAGCTTTTCAGTTTAGCTTTATAAAATCAAAATTCAATTCAACTGGACTCTTCTAGCTTTTACAGACTTTATCCTTCTATGATATTATTTTTCTTGACCTTGTCTCCCCAGCTAGAAAACACCTATAAGGTCCATTACAATAACCCTGAATCCCAGGAAAGTGATGGAAAACTTCCACATACCACAGTGACCCAGCACCTGACGAATCAATCATTCAACAACTGGCACATGTTTTGGTCATAATATACTATAATAAGTGGATGAAGAAATTAAAATACTAGCTGATTATGTGAATTATATAACAATAAAGCTATTAAAAACTACTAAGACTTTCTCCTAATCGAATGATTGAAAGTCACCTACATATGATAAATGAGTTATGTGTAATTAGTTTCTGAATACCACACTAAAGAAGAAGATCTGGGTGGCGGGAACAGTGGCTCACTCACTTGTAATCACAGCACTTTGGGAGACCGAGGCAGCAAGATTGCTTGAGCCCAGGAGTATGAGACCAGCCTGGACAACACGGCAAGACCACATCTCTATTAAAAGTAAAAACAAATTAGCCAGGCCATGGTGGCATGTGCCTATGATCCCAGCTTATCAGTGGGCTGGGGTGGGAGGATCCCTTGAGCCTAGGAGGTCTAGGCTCCTTTGAGAGCCCCGGCATTGTGCCACTGCATTCCAGCCTAGACAACAAAGTGAGACCCTGCCTCAAAAAAATAAGAACAAACAGAATGGGTAGCAGAATGAAAGGGCTGTGAAAGTCATGTGTGCTGTGGGCCAGCCACATCTTCACATTTCAACAAAGGAGAGTTACTGCTTCTAGTGTAGGCATCTATGTATCTATTCTTTATTTTCAAACGGTAGAAGTTTACTAGAAGGAAAGAGCAGACAAACTGGAGAGGGCCTAAACTGGAAAGCTGGCTCTGCTACCTGTGACACTGCACATATTTCAGCCTTGGATCTTCACCTATAAGATGGCACGACAGCACCTCCTGCCTACAGCTATTATGCACATTCAGCGAGACAGAATTTTAAATACCACAAACTAAAATGCACACATTATTACAACTCCTTACAGTAGGAATTCTAGTTTTACAAACAGGTATTTTATTTTCATAAGCATGAATATTCTCCTTTACATGATTACACTTTCTAGATAAAATGCTTTGTAATTTGACATTTATTTAAAAACAAAACAAAACAGAAAACCTTCCTCTTCTACTGAGTATCGCCTGTCTGCCTCCTCCTGCTCTCACCGGGTACTTGTAAAGATGATGAAGACTTAGTTTTTTACTATTACTGGGGAAGGCAATACTGCTTTAAGGTTTGTGATCATGGGGATTAGGATAGATAACAAAATTATGTCCTCTAAAGCAAGCTACTCTATATAGCGAGACTGCAAGGTAGAAACGTTTAGTCTGTTCTTTTAACTTTTTAAATTTTGAAGCAGCTTTAACAGGCTTGCTAGCTGGGCGTGGTGGCTCACGCCTGTAATCTCAGCACTTTGGGAGGCTGAGGCGGGTGGATCACCTGAGTTCAGGAGTAGAGACCTGCCTGACCAACGCAGTGAAACCCCGTTTCTACTAAATACAAAAAAATTAGCTGGACCTGGTGGCTCATACCTGTAATCCCAGCTACTTTGGAGGCTAAGGCAGGAGAATCACTTGAACCTGGGAGGCAAGGTTGCAGCAAGCCAAGATTGCACCATTGCACTCCAGCCTGGGCAACAAGAGTGAAACTCAGTCTCAAAAAAAAAAACAGGCTTGCTATTGAAGTGTGATGTCCTTTTTCTCACCCTGGAAATCAACTTTCAGATGGAAAGAAATACAAATACCAAGTGTGAAACTCACCTTTTTTTTGTCTTCTTCGGTTCTCATTCTTTCACCATAGACCAAAAACACATGCTGACCAGGATCATAACACCCAGGGGACTGGTCAACCAGCATCAACTGACACCAGCGGAAAAGATCCCGGAGGTTGAATTCCCAGGGTCCTCCTTTTTGCCCCACTTCTTCTCAACAGTCTTCATGATCAATCTGAAAGAAAACATCCTGATTAGGAAACATGCCTGCTTGCTACTAGGTTTTACGTGAAATACTAGGAATGTACTACAAAGCATACATAATCTGAAACAAAAATTAACAGGCTTGGTTCAGTGCCTCTTTCTCAAGACTTCCAAATGCCTGGCATATCCTCTAAGCATTAACACTAGTAGTCACAATACAGAAATGAATTACTGGATGCCTCCACTGCTTAGTGTGCCTTCCACTAGAAACCTGTAGAATTCAAAGTAATTTTTAGTTAGAGATCTGATAATTTGGTGAACCCTATGTTTGAAAAAATGCTTGTTCAAATACAGTCAGAAAACAGAAACCAATACATGTAGGTACTTACTTGGTTATTGAAAGCAACCATTTTCTTAACAATATTTTTCTCAATGGCTGGAAACAAAGTACTGGCAATGAACTCCATGTCAATTACTGTAAGAGGATCAACGAAGACCTAGAAATCCAAAAATAACATGAAGAAATGCCTCTGTTTCTCTTTAACACTAGAAATGACTCCATGTCTTATTATGTAAAATCTTTAACACCAAGTAACAATACATGAGAAAGATAATTTTCAGTTATAGAAATTTCTTTTTGTGCTTTGAGAATAAAGATGCAAAATCGGCCGGGCACGGTGGCTCAAGCCTGTAATCCCAGCACTTTGGGAGGCCGAGGCGGGTGGATCACGAGGTCAGGAGATCGAGACCATTCTGGCTAACACGGTGAAACCCCGTCTCTACTAAAAATCACAAAAAGGCTGGCCGGGGCGAGGTGGCGAGCGCCTGTAGTCCATCTGCTCGGGAGTCTGAGGCAGGAGAATGGCGTAAACTGAGACGGAGCTTGCAGTGAGCTGAGATCCGTCCACTGCACTCCAGCCTGGGCGACAGAGTGAGACTCTGTATCAAAAAAAAAAAAAAAAAAAAAAAAAAAAATCACAAAATCTTCTAAACACAGCAGAGTAGAGGTTTTGCTTTTAAGGTCTATTCTAGTAGGAATTAAAAAGAAAAAAAGAGGCCCAGCGTGGTGGCGCACACCTGTAGTCCCAGCACTTTGGGAGGCCAAGGCGGGTGGATCATGAGGTCAAGAGATCGAGACCATCCCAACTAGAACAATGAAACCCTGTCTTCACTAAAAATACAAAAATTAGCTGGGCACAGTGGCATGCGCCTGTGGTCTCGGCTACTCAGGAGGCTGAGGCAGGAGAATAGCTTGTCCTGGGAGGAGCGGCTGCAGCAGAGATCACGCCACTGCCTCCAGCCTGGGAGATGAGCAAGACTCCGTCTCAAAAAAAAAAAAAAAAAAAAAGATGTTATTAAAAATTTCCTATGTATAATGTAAAATGCTTTTAAATCTGGGTGGTAGATATGAGTATTCACTATAAAAGTGAAAGTTTTCTCAATAAAACATTCTTCCTTTTTGGAGATGGGGTCGATCCTATGCCAAGGCTGGAGTACAATGGCACGATCAGCTCACTGCAACCTCTATCTCCCAGGTTCAAGCGATTCTGCTGCCTCAGCCTCGGCATAGCTGGGATTACAGGCACCATGCCACCACACCCGGCTAATTTTTGTATTTTTAATAGAGCGGGGTTCGCCATATTGGCCAGGCTGGTCCAAACTCTTGACCTCAGGTGATCCACCTGCCTTGGCCTCCCAAAGTGCTGGGATTACAGGCATAAGCCACCACGCCCAGCCAATAAAACATTCTTAAAATACACTCAGCCAATTCTTAATCATAAGGGACAGTGACACTAAAGAAATCTAGAGGCATTTCAGAAACCTCTGGATTGGCCAAACTCTGAAGAACATGTTAAAACAAGCCAAGCATACACATACAGGTAACCTTCTGCAAGTAGAATAAAGGCATAAGATACCAAAATGCTAATAATGACTGAATGGGGAATAGTGGATTTTTATTCTTCATGGTAGTTTTCTGTTCCTTCTTACTTTTCTTTAGTTAAAATGCATTATTTTCAGTGAAAATTTTTCTTATATATTTCAATAGATCAGAGGACAACTGAAAGGTCAAGATTGGACTTCATCCCCAGAGTGCAGTAACAGAATCCTGAAGAGGCTGAGGACCTTACTTTCTTCCAGCTGATAACACATCCAGTCTTCTGGGGCAAAGATGAAGGACAGAAGCAATGATGGGAATCAGTCACATTAATATTGATCATATAAGGACAAGAAAGAGGATTGTTAAGCTGATCCTGTCTAATTCTCACAGTGAACATCCTTAAAGGCTTCATAATAGTAGTCTTATCCTCACAGTCTATATTTGAATATCTCTATGGCAGCAGCAAATCTTACCTGAGTGAATCTGTTAAGGAAAGACCTGGGCAAGCCTTTCCTCCCACCTCCTTGTCTAAAGGGATTCTGACACCCAAAAATCTTCGTCTTTTCATGCTGCGCTTAGCTCATTCCTAACTCAGGTACATAGATTTCTCCTCGGTGGTCAAAACAAGCATTGAGTCCTTCCAATACAGACTGAGAAGCCAGAGTTAAGCTATTTAAAAAGAAGAAAGTGCATATATTTGTCTAAATATGTTGTACAACTGAAACAAAAAAGCAGGGAATAATATGAAGCAAAAAAAGCTAGAGTTATCTTCAGAAAGGAATTTCAAACAATATTGATAACCTTCTATATTTTAGGCTGAGTTATGAGTTGGTTTGTCTTCATTCTATTATTTTGTTTTTGAGACAGGATTTCACTCTGTCACCCAGGTTGGAGTGCAGTGGCACAATCACAGCTCACTGCAACCTCCACCTCCAGGGCTCAAGAGATCCTCTACCTCAGCCCACTGCATAGCTGTTACAGGTGTGCACCACCACACCCAGTTAATTCTGTTTTTTTGGTAGAGCCAAGGTCTCGCTATGTTGTCAGGATGGTCTCAAACTCCTGGGCTCCAAGTGGTCTCATCCTTTGTTTCCCAATGTTCGAGAATTACAGGCATAGAGCCTCACCACCTGGTCAATTCTATTATTCTTTATTTCCCATGTCTCGTTAAAGAGATTTTGGCTGGTATCTTACATAGATACACACACACACACACACACACATCAGCAGTATTTGCACTGGAATAAATGCTCAAATTAAATTTAAAGTTAAAATCTTCTCAAAAGTTAAACTGTATCAATTATACATACCTATATTAACCTACTCTGTAAATAATAACACGAAAACGCGCCAATAAACAGATATTTCATTTTACTTAATGAGTTTTTAATATGTGTAACAGAAATTAGCCAGGCATGGTGGCTCACGCTTATGTCCCAGCACTTTAGAGAGCCAAGGCAAGGTGGATCACTTAGGCCAGGAGTTCAAGACCAGCCCGGACCAACATGGCAAAACCTTGTCTCTACTAAAAAATACAAAACTTAGGCATTGTGGCGCATGCCTGCAGTCCCAGTTACTCAGAGTGGCTGAGGCAGGAGATTCACGATTCACGTGAACCTGGGAGGAGGTTACAGTGAGCTGAGAACCCACCACTGAGTGTAACACTAGTGTAGAGAATAGATAAGGTTTGCTAACTTTTTAAATACTTTCCCATCTCAAACACTGAACAAAATATCAACGGGTTTCAAAGTCAGGATATAGGAGTCACTACAGCTGATTTCCACCGATTTTGTAAACAAGAACAATTACAAGGGGCTCTTGGGCCAGGATGAAAAGAGCTGAATGTGGGTCTTCAGATCGCAGTTCAGAGCTCAGGGACAGAAAAGCATGTGTGGTTTGTTGGTAACACAGAAAAAGGGTGAAAATACAAGTTAATAAAATGCAAATGGACAAAAATCAGAGCATACTATATTAGAATTTCAAGTGTCATGTTTACATATGCACCACAAAGCACAAACAGCTCTGTATATTCCCAAACAGAAGGCCGCTGTTAAGTGTGTTTATAAATCTAGAATGTCTTGTAGTCCTGAATGCAATTTAATTCCACTAAATACGCAATTCCACTAAATACTAAGTATGGTCAGCAGCCTTCAGCTTTAAAACTAGGCTTTCTCTTTTCTAGCTAATGTATTCTATCAGACAACTTGTTTAAAAAAAAATCTGCTCACGCCTGTAATCCCAGCACTTTGGGAGGCCGAGGTGGGCAGATCACAAGGTCAGGAGATCGAGACCACAGTGAAACCCCATCTCTACTAAAAATACAAAAAATTAGCCGGGGCGAAGTGGCGGGCGCCGTAGTCCCAGCTACTCAGGAGGCTGAGGCAGGAGAATGGCGTGAACCAGGAGGCGGAGCTTGCAGTGAGCCGAGATCGCGCCACTGCACTCCAGCCTGGGGGACAGAGCAAGACTCCGTCTCAAAAAAAAAAAAAAAAAAAAAAAAAAATCTGAAAAAGGAAAAAATTCCCCTTCTTATTTATCCCAGAATAAAAGGCAGAAAGCAGCTCAGCAGACAGAAGTCATGCAGCACCCTCTCTGATGACTAGACCCAGGAATCTGAGCCTGGGGGACCTGTTGCAACCTGTGTCCAAAGTCTCACCTGTGACATGTACATCACTCTAATCATTTCAGCTCCCTGAAATACTTCTAGCCTTTTCCTGAATATTGTATACCCCCAACTTATTGTCCAGATCTCTAGCTGTCAGAATTCAATGTTATCATGTCTCATGCTCTGCTCTTTCTTCTGATAATTTCCCAATATGCACATGTAACTGATCGTTTCTTCATTTTGGTAGGTCATTTTGCATGTCTTTTCTTAGTCTCTCTGGTGCACTAATAAAACATGAAGTGGTTGACACTACTTGTAAAATGCCTCTAAAATAAATGCAAAAACAGCAAGCCTGTCAGAGACTAAACTAGTGACAAAAGTGGGCAAAGGATATGAACAGACATTTCTCAAAAGAAGACATTCATACAGCCAACAGACACATGAAAAAATGCTCATCATCACTGGCCATCAGAGAAATGCAAATCAAAACCACAATGAGATACCATCTCACACCAGTTAGAATGGCGATCATTCAAAAGTCAGGAAACAACAGGTGCTGGAGAGGATGTGGAGAAATAGGAACACTTTTACACTGTTGGTGGGATTGTAAACTAGTTCAACCATTATGGAAAACAGTATGGCGATTCCTCAAGGATCTAGAACTAGATGTACCATATGACCCAGCCATCCCATTACTGGGTATATACCCAAAGGATTATAAATTATGCTGCTATAAAGACACATGCACACGTATGTTTATTGCAGCACTATTCACAATAGCAAAGACTTGGAATCAACCCAAATGTCCATCAGTGACAGATTGGATTAAGAAAATGTGGCACGTATACACCATGGAATACTATGCAGCCATAAAAAAGGATGAGTTTGTGTCCTTTGTAGGGACATGGATGCAGCTGGAAACCATCATTCTCAGCAAACTATCACAAGAACAGAAAACCAAACACCGCATGTTCTCACTCATAGGCGGGAACTGAACAATGAGATCACTTGGACTCGGGAAGGGGAACATCACACACCGGGGCCTATCATGGGGAGGGGGGAGGGGGGAGGGATTGCATTGGGAGTTATACCTGATGTAAATGACGAGTTGATGGGTGCAGCACACCAACATGGCACAAGTATACATATGTAGCAAACCTGCACGTTGTGCACATGTACCCTACAACTTGAAGTTTAATAATAATAAATTTTAAAAAATTAAAAAACAAAAACAAAAACAAAAAAACAAAAAAAAAAGAAAACAAGGCAATTTTTTAAAACTTAAAAACAATTTCTCTATAATCAGAGTGTGCCTGCTGCTGTGGCTGCTGCTGCCCCACAATCCTCTGACTCACATCTGACACAACTTCTGTGAAGCAGCAGGAGGAGACTGACACTCTCTAGAAGTTGTGAAAACCCAAGGAAGGGAGGTGAGACACCAAAAGGGTAACATTAAGTTGAAGGTGGCTAGCAGGACAGTTCAGTGGAGCACTTTAAGTTTTAAAAGCATCCGCCATATAGTAGACTACCCAGACTACCCAGGACATACTGTCAACAGCAGGTACATCAAGGAGGGAACCCATATTCCAACGCTCAGTAAGATAAAAAGGTTACAAAACTGAAAAGGACAGTTCGAGTTAATGTGTTCCAACAGACAAGTGATGCCTGCTGAAAATGAAAGCTGCTACTGTAGAACTGTGTTTGTAAAAGTTATAGTCCTCTCGTAGTGGAAAGCCAAGACTGAGTTCAGCCACAACTTGACTAGCAAAGTATTTTTCTCTATTGTTTGATTTCTTCCCATTCACTCCATGATCTTTAGTGCACATAAAGGAATTATTTAGCACAAAAGCATCATGCATATTTTTTTCTAAACCAAACGGCCAGTGGTATATTTTGATCAACATCAAATGAAGATGGAGGTAGAAAATTTTAAATCTGGTGTTGTGAAAATGCCCATTTTCCTAATTAATGCTTGTGTCAATCAAGTTAATATTACACTGTTCTAGGAAATGTTTATTCTCTCACTCCTTATTTTAAAAAAATAAATCTTGAATACTTCCTTTGATCAGATATCTTAGATGTCTATTTCTGTCATCACTATGGTTTTATAACTTTGTCATCAAAGCTTTCTCAGAGACACGGTCTGGCTCTGTTGCCCAGGCTAGAATGCAGTCAGTGGCACTATCACAGCTCACTGCAGCCTCAAACTCCCGGACTTAAGCAATCCTCCTATCTCAACCTCCCAAGTAGCTGGACCACAGGTACAAGCCACTGCATGTATCATTAAAGTTTTATATTTTCTTAAATTAAATGACCCTGTTTAACTTTCCTTTAAGTCAAATATCTCGTGGTTTGAAACTCTTCCTACTAACAATACTGGTAGACAACACAAAGTTAAGGGTGGAAGGGACCTCAGAGAAATAAGAGCTTCATTCCTCTAGTTTCTAAACACAGGCAGAAATAGTAAATGATGAGCCAAAAATCTACCAAGCCAGTTTGTGGCAGAGTTGGTACCACAGCCCAGTGTTCCCACTCCTAGATTCTTTTCACTCCATGGCATATCATCAGCCTCCTTCAGAAGCTGGAAGATAAATGGATAGTTTCAGGCCAGGCATGGTGGCGCAAGCCTCTAGTCCCAGCACTTTGGGAGGCCAAAGCAAGAGGATCATTTGAGGCCAGGGCAACTTAGTGAGACCCTGTCCCATTGCGGGGGGTGGGGGGGGTGGGGAAAAGGTAGTTTCAAAAAAAAAAAAGAGGCAAAATTTGCTTCTGCATATCATGAGTCTTCTAAAAACTACTGTTATGTTGAGACCTCTAACAGGTAAGATCTTTTCCCCATAAACTCAAAAGATAAATTTCCAAAACAGTGCTGAGAGCTAAAAATCAAAAGTGCATACCTGTCGTATTTGGTTGTAATATTTTGAAAACATTACTGACTGCACCTGAGAGGGAATGTGAGTAAAAATTC